GGAGGGAAAGAATGAAGCTGGCCAAAACGCGCCGTTTCATTAATTGAAACGGGCGGGCCTGAGTGGATGATGCTATCCCCACCCCCAGGTTGTGAGCCCAAATCATATTCAACGTGTTTTCATTGTTATTTTCACCCCCTGGCATTTTATTCTATTTCTTTTATTTCTGAATGAAGCTGGGCCTTAACCAGAATGCTAAGCGCACCCCCCTGCTGTTGGCCCATTGTGATTTTGAACTGGGGCGAACTGCTATTCATACCCCTCTCTCTTATTTTAATTCATTTCATTTTCTTATTTCATTTTAATATTTTACCAATTTTCATAAAATCATAACTAATTCATAAAAAATGCTTTTTAATCCATTCTTTTTACCATGTTTTCATTAAAATGTCTAGAATATTATAGGAAAATAAATTTTCATTTTTAGTTTTATTCCATATTTTTTCCATATTTTCTAAATAAATGTTATATTAAATAGATTCATTTCATGCATTATTTTTATGATTTTTGTTCTCTCACATGCTTTAATATTTTTTGATCATTATTTTCATATTGTTTAGATGAGATATTAGGCTTATAGGAATATTTTAGTTCCCATTTTTAGGAGTTAATTTTAGGTGATTAATAAGTGCTTGAATATCATGAACAAAACTAGGGTTTTTAGGTGACAACTTAGGAGTTTGATTTCATTTCCCTTAGGATTTAGGGTTTGAATAAATTAGTTATGGGACTATATGGGCTATGGGTAGTTATTAGATCCCTTAGAGAACAGTTAGGATTCCCCTACTGCTATTATTACTGTCTGTATATCTGTTGTCTGGTGTGGTGTGCCCTCTGGGGATTGTTGCTTGTTTGATTGGGTATTGGGATTGCCTGGGGCCCTGGGGAAGCTGAAGATTTGTGAAGATGAAGCTATTGGAGATTCAAAGATTGAAGATCAACTGTCAGAGTTGAGGAGGAGTTTCTTGCTGGCAGATGCTGAGGAGATTAGGGTTTAGGAGCTAGGCAGAGCTCTAGATTAGAAATTTTGTTTCTCAAACATGGATTGCCTTGTCTGCATCCATTCTTCTCTGTGATTCAGAGTCTCTCTAAGACACTCACCCCCTTCCTTTGGAAGGCTTGGTGATGGTGTCCATGAGATAGAACTCTTGAGAGAAAATGTCTCTTGTGTTAGAAGCAGTCTGTTCACCACCTTTGGTAGTCAGCTTATTGCTTAACACTCAATTCACTCTTGTGACTAATCCCTCATCCTGGAGGTTTGAGCATGAAGAAAAGCCATTGCAGATGGAAGACTGATGATCAAAGCCCTTGCCTGAAGGCCATGAAGATGGAGATTGATGCTTGTTGAAGCTTGTGAATGATTGGAGATTGCTTGAAGCCAGTTGTTGATTCAGAGCTGCTGATGCTGTTTCTTTTGCTGTATTTCATTTTCTGATGTATTGATTGGTTTTCTGAACTGTATTGTTTGCTGTTTACCCTGTTGGGTTGAAAGTGAATCCTGTTCACTTTCACCTATTGTTTTCTAGGTTCGAGGTTGAGTGGGACTCCCTTGCCTCGCTTGTATTGCTGCATCCATGCATTTTACTGTTTTATTGTATATATCTGTTATTGTTTCTGTTTCTGCCTATCCCTTAGGATCTCTGTTTCTCTCTGTGCAAGAGAGGAGCATGATAGACACTAGGTCTTAACCCATGCATGATAACATTAGGTTAGTTTGTTTCCCTTCGCAACCGTAGGTTAGAGTTCTGTCTCTTTCTTTCTCAAAACAAACAGAAAAACACATAAAGATTTCAAACACAATAAAAGACACTTCTTCCGTAAAAGAACGTGAACTCATCAAGACGTCATTTTTGTCCGCTTGGACTGTTAATCAGAAAAACCTTTTCAGAAGGAATAAAATCAACCAAGACAAGCTTGTGTCGTGCGTGGCCCGAACTACGTTTGCTCTGATCTTTCATGCTGTATGAAAGTACGTAGGCATAGGATGCGATATCCTAGCGAGCAACCTTCCCCTCCTTTCCCGTAGGTAGGCGAACTACGTTGACTCTGATTTCTCGTTCCAGACGAGAATACGTAGGCATAAAGTGCGATACTTTGCCGAGTCATTTTTTATTTCCATTTTATTTTCTTTTTAACCCTTGACCTTTAGCGTAGATAGAATAACAATCCATACCCGAAAACAAGCGTGGATCCCGTCGAGTACGACGGACGTGAGGGGTGCTAATACCTTCCCCTTGCGTAACCGACTCCCGAATCCAGGTTTTGGTTGCGATGACCATACCTTTTCCCGTCTTTGCGAGGTTTACTCTGAGCGTTTCCTTTCCCTCCCGTGGGATAAATAACGCACGGTGGCGACTCTTCTGTTCAGCCGGCGCCGATTTTCGCAGTAGCGACAATGATCTACTAACAACCTTCATAAAGTTTTGATGAAGACAACACCAATGACTATTGAAGTCAGTAAAGTCGATGGTAATGGTATTCTAACTCTCTGATGACGGTGAACAAACTTAAGGACATCTCAAACCTCATCTAATAGGAGAATAAAGACTTCATTGAATTACTTATATAATCAATGTATCTGGCAAAATCTTGAAGACCCCAAAATTATGAAAGAGAGTAAATTTAAAGATTTACTCCAAATTTTATCTCTCTATTTTCTTTTAATCTAACCGTTTTAATTGACTATTTATATCTTAAAGTGAGAGTAAAATATTTTTAAAATGTATTATACAAATAAATTCAATATCATAAAAGAAAGATATATATATATATATATATATATATATATATATATATATATATATATATATATATATATATATATATATATATATATATATATATATATATATATATATATATATATATATATATATATATATATATATATATATATATATATATATATATATATATATATATATATATATATATATATATATATATATATATATATATATATTACAAAATTAATTAGATTAGAATTTCATATAGTAGTAGCTTAGTTGGTGGCTTTACATGTACATCAAATCAAATGTAGAGTAGATTAGATTAAAATTCTTATATCAAATAAATGTAACAATGTATTTTATTTTATTTTATTTTTATTAGTTTCTATATAAATATTTAATTTAATCTCAACTTGAATATATAATTTTGTGATTTTATTTGATATAAGTATTTTGGTTTAATTCTTTTTATTAGTTTGTATGTAAATAATCTTCAACTAAGAATTTTGATCAAGTTATTAGATTTAATATATGAATTTAATCTTCAACCATTTCATATTTTCATATATAATATTTTTTTATGCTGTTAATTTTATTTGATATAGAGATTTTGGTTTTAATTATTTTTGGAATATTTTTTATATAAATAATTAATTAAATTCATTAAATTAAAAAAAATAGATGCTTAAGATTTTGATTAAAAATATCTCTCTTAGACTAAAAATAGAGAAAAAAGGAAATGCACTTATAATGTAAAATACTTTACACTGTCAACCAATCGCAACCATGTATCAGAATAAAATATGTTTTTATTTTAAAAATACTAATATTACATGACAATTATAGATATTTTAATTGATTGTAGTGTAAAATTGTCTTATATTACCCGTGCACTACCTTTAAACCTATAAAAATATCTCTCTTTTTTAATGGAAATGCTTAAAAATAAATAAATAATATTTGTATCAAATGCATAGAAAATCAAAATATTAATTTTTAAAATATTTTTAAAAAAAAATTATATTCAATACAATGTTTTCTTTATTTGAAATATTTAAAGAGTGTCCTAGAAAATTCATTTTCACAACCCTTTCTTTATTTATTATATTATTTTCCCTTTTTTAAAAATTAATAACTTTAGTTTATATGGTCAAACAACCCCTATAATAAAAAAATATATAAATAAGTTCAACCATTTCCATTAATTTACAATTATTTTACTACTTTTTCGTAAGTTCCTTTTTTATTAAATATATTTTCTTTCTTTAAATAAATCTCTCACAATAATTTTTTTGCCTTATAAAATAATATTTTATTTGAATTTTCTACAAAAGTCAATAAATAAATTTTATAAAGAAAAAAATATGCACTATATATATATATATATATATATATATATATATATATATATATATATATATATATATATATATATATATATATATATATATATATATATATATATATATATATATATATATATATATATATATATATATATATATATATATATATATTTATTTATTTATTTATTTTAGACTGTCAAACAAATAACATATATATTATAATTCTATTGAATAATTGTGTAAAATTAATTTAAATTAACATTACAATAACTTTAATCACAACTTTATTATTGTTGTAAATAAAATATTAGTCTAAAAAACAAACATTTTAAAATAGAAAAAATCCAAATGATCCACTTTTATGAGATACAAAAAATATATATTCGTTATCATATACGGTAATGCACTTTGCGTCATGTACTTTTCGAAGGATAGGTTTGTAATTTCGTTTAAAATATTTATGGTAATTGAATTCCCGATTGAAACATATCCAAAATAATAAATTTATTATTTAATATGAGACGTTACATAAGAAATCAAAGAAAGTATACGTCAAATTTATTACGTTTACAAAAATAAAAATAAAAATGGTTTCTTTAAGTCAAAAAATAGTAAAAGTGTTTAGGTAGAGTCCAAGAGGTGGCGTCTTTCATATTCTGAAAACCATTTTATAAACTCATCTTCACCCTCTTCTTATATTTGTTATTGTTATTGTTGGAGTCAGAAACTTGTAACTACAATACTATGGTAAAGTTTGTACAGTATAATATATATCTCATTCTTTTTTTTCTGTTACTTTGGTTTATTCTTGTACATTTGTGATGTTGATGATGCTGATTTTTTTGTATGAAATGTTTGGATTGAATTATAGACTACATCCAGGCGTGTATCAGACAGGAAAGTAGCAAGATTTGAAAGAAAACTTATGAAGAAAGGATCTGAAAAGAAAGGATTGGATTTTCGCTACCTAATTGGCTCAATTCTGATTGGTGTCTTAGTTTTTCTTCTGGCTGGATTATGTATGTTCTTTGTTTCTTTTCAATTCCAAAATTATTGAACCATTTTTTAAAATATGAATTCATGTTAGGTTCTCTTGTAGATTACTTGATCTGTATTTGAAAATTGTTTGAAACTCTAAGGGTGATCTAGGAAGTGAAATTTGTACAAATTTGATGAAAACAAGTAAAAGAAATCAATATTGATTAGGTCATTGTTTTGTCTTGTCCTTGAAGACGAGAAGAGTTTTTACTTCTGAACATTGAACTTTCGAGTTTAGTATAGATCAAATGTCAAATGTGGATCGTTGGTGATTAATAGTTTTTTTTTCTGTGTTTGATAGGTCTGTTTCAGGTCATTAGGAGGACAACAGCAGCAAGTGGTGGGACGGATTAAAGAAGGATGAGAATTTCTGAAGAGTTCATATTGTCACAAATAAGTAGTATTTTCAAACAAAAAAAATAGTGTATAGAAAATAAAATATCAAATAGTTCATAATTCATCACGTTTGTGTTGATGGAGTGATTGAGAATTTGCTTTAATAAATAATAAAAGAATAATGAATATTCAATTTCTTGCAGTGTGATAGCATCTTCTCTTTTTAGTTTTTACAGTAGAAAACTTGAAATATGATTAACAAGCAAATTCTACTAATTACTCAATGATTAAATAGAATCAAGATTGAGCCTTGGTTCACCAATTAATTTTTGCATGTCTTTTTACTATTTATTTATTTATCTGTCATACAGTTTTAACGAAGAAAATATGAAATTGTGAAAGGAATAACTAAACTCATCAAAATATGGATCAAGAATTGATTTTCATGTACTGCTGCAATCCAAATTTTCAAGCATTATGTTTATTAGCTTAACAATTCCAAAAACACTTATTCATTCCTCCAGTGACCATATACAAGGATGGACGATTCAATGTTACATGTAATATTAGACACAAAACAGTGTCTAACTTCTAAAACAGACATAGTATATGCTCACTAAACTGAAAGATGAAAACAATGAAAAGAGGTGAGGAGTCTCAGCAAGAAACAGTGATTGAGGTTGCTCATATCAGTTTATGGCTCATTTATTCTACCTCCAAGCTGTTTTGCTGTCGTCAGATCTTCGACTTGGTTTGGCTGTAACTCCTAGTTTGCTGATTTTGGCGGTGTTATGGTGGTAACAGTCAGAACTTTTTGAAAATTTCCGATCATAAGAGTTAAAATCGTCAAGCAACTCAGGATATACTTTGACATCATCCTCAGATAAGCTATCATCCTGCAGTGATTCCTGCAGTAAATGGAAATTATCAGTTAAGAAACTTGTTTTCGAAAGATGAGAAACACTATTAGTAGAGAGGTTTGTTACCCTGGATCTTGACTTGTTGGCATTGTAAGGTGTTAAGCATGGATTAAGATCTTTGAGTAATAGATCATCCGCCATGTCCTCGGAGCTAAAATCCTGCACGAATTGCTTGAGAAAAGTTAACAACATTCTACGATCAACGATCACTACTTTCAAATTTTAATTAAGTTTCTTACCCAAGAGTTTGAGGCATCTTCCCTGCCATGTGGCGGCGGTGTCCAAGAGTTTGAGGCATCTTCCCTGCCATGTCGTGGCGGTGTTCTTGGAGAGCTTCCGTAACCTTGGAAGCCTGTTTTCGCCGAATACTTATCAGCCTTGACCTATCAAGCAAGTTAACAACAATAAATGTTAAACACTTCTTTATGTCTTCTGAAAGCAAGGACTCGAAAATTTCTCGGTGGAGTGAAAGATTTGAAGTTATACCTCTGCAAGATCTTCGGCGAGGCTTTGAAGCTGACCAGTTAGAGAAGAAACCTGCTGTTGTAGAGATGGAATGACCTGTTTTGCTTCTTTCAGCTCTGAGCCTTGCTTCTCTACAAGTTCCTGAAGTTGAGAATTCATTACCTCTGGGAACAAAATACTGTTCTTCAATGACTTGATTTCTTCTCTTTGGTTCAAGCACAAATCCTTCAACTTCTCTACCTGCAAATTCAACAAACCAAATGTGACTTAAGAGTTCAACATCTTCAAGAAACACTTCAGTTAGACAATAACTTCTTCTATAGCACCGACCCTTCTCATCAAATTGTGTCTGATGTACGACAAATGTTGCTATATTCAATTGCAGGAGTAGCGGCTATTCGACATTATTTGGTACCAGAACAATAGCTATTTGTCCAAATTCCGTTCTGGTATAGCAATATAGCAGTGCTATACCACAATTTAACAACTTGCCATATACACATTTCAATTCTTATCTATGAAAGTGACACATTTTTTCAGAGATTTCGGTGTTACATAAATTCTTATATATCAAAATCATTTCTCCATATATTTTTAAAGTGAAATCAGCCACTGTTGCAAATCAAAAAACATCATTTCCAGCATGCAACAAACAATTAGAACCCATCAAACTATTAACATTGAAAAACCAACAGGTTTCAACCTTTATGACAAACAAACATTAACTAACTAAAAAAACCAAAGACCCATAATTGCAATTCATGTTTACAAATCAGATACAAACCTCTTTATTCTTGTTTTCAATCACGAGCTTAAGCCTCGAAATCTCATCCTCTTGTTCCTTATTGATACTCAGAAGCTCCCTCTCACTCCTCAGAACCATAGCAAGAGTCCTAGTGTTCCCCTTCACTTCAGTCAAAGCCTTCACCTTCTCTTTCTTCTCACACGATCCACTCTTCCCGAACAATTTCTTCTGCAACGCAGAAAAACCAGTGACCCTTTTAGCATCCTTCAAATCCTTAGCAATAACATCAGAAGGAATGAACAACTTGGTAGAGGCAGGGTTCACTGATTTGGGCTTATTCGCCATGAACTTTTTAACCATAGTGGTTACCGTAGGATCCACTTTTGTGGTTGGCGTTACATGAGAAGGTTTAGCTTTCACCATGGCACGAGATGAAGAGTATGATTTTGGGTTTACATTGTTGAACTCATGGGATGAAGATGGATCTGAAAAGTGAGAGGAAGTTGAAGAACGTGAATCGTAGGTGCTGTATCTCGAAGAGGGTTTTCTAGAGAATGAAAACGCCATTTGCACTACCTAGAGAGAGACAGAGTTTGATTTGAATTGAGGAAGAAGAGGGAGTGTGAACTTTGAGGTTTATGTTTTGGTTTCATCGTAGGATGTTTTAAGATGATGACACGTGGCGGGTGATTAGAAGAGTTTAGGCGCTGTAGTAATTCAAATTTTGATCACGTGATAGGCGCGGGGTGTGTTTTGATTGATTGCGTGATATTTGGGTTTTATCTTTGGAATTTGGAGATAGTGAAGTAACAAAAACGGTATAGTACTATTTGTTTATCCTTTTTAGAATATTTGCTTCCTATTTATATTTTTCTAGTACAAGTTCTCTACTAATTATTTATGTATTAACTTGTCCTAAATTTCCTTTTAGGAAAACAAAAATAGCTTTCATGTTTATTTAGGTAATGTAAATCAATTTAGGTTAAGGTTACTCTTTATGATTGGACATTGTATTTATTAAGGGTGTTCAAAATTTTGGTTAATCAAACTATATACTCAATCTAAATTGAGTTGAATCATAAAAAATTTGAATTGGTTAATAAACTGAATTGTTTATTTTAATCAATTTATTTTATTTTATTTTATTTAAAAACTGATTTAAACGGTTATAAACTCTTTTCACACTTTTATAAAAAAAAAATATAAAACATTTTTAACAAATTCAATAAATTTAATAAAATCTTATGTAAAAAGGATAAATATATTTATTATAATTTTTCAATTATATTTGCGTTAGATACATTTTCACATGTTATTTACATTTTTATATTACTTTATAAAATGATATTACAAAATATTAAATCTAAACGTTTTTTTCCAAATCATTATAGTGAATTTTAGAATTTTAAATTGATTTTATGAAACATTTTTTCTCAAAACTTACATTCGGCTTTAATTTTGCTTTTGGTTTTATCTTCTTGTTTACGTTTTCGATTTCATACTTCAACAACAAACAACTTTAATAAGAGTCACTTGAGTTAAAATAGTTAATAATTTTTATTTAACGATAATCATTGTATAATCTGAGTGATAGTATAATATTGTACCTAAAATAAATATACAGCACACGGCATTGCACATATCTTATAAATTATTAGTGCGTTGAAGCTAAATTATATAGTATTAAACTATAAAAAATTAATATTTCAAACTTTTAGTTTAATATTGTGAAGTTTTAGTCTAATCTCAATATTTTTTATACTAATATGAAAAATGTTGTAAGTTAAACTTTTGGTGAACTGTTTATAAATTTAATTTAAAAAGTCAAATCGTTCATAAAAGTAATGTTTTAAAAACCGGACCAGACCGGTCGGTCGGATCGGGAACCGGGCTAATAATCGGTCTGGTTTACTAGTTTGATTGTCTGTGTCGTTAAATCGATAAAAATCGGGAAAAATTGGATTGGACCGGAAAAAACCGAGTTTAGGGTTGGACCGGTTCTAATGCATTTTTTATTTTTTAATTAAAATTTAAATGTAAAAGTTATAAAAATTAAAAAAAAAATATTGTTTAAAATTAGATTATATTGCAATTATTTTGTTATTTTGTATTATTTTGTTATGTGTGATACATTTGTTTAAAATTTGAATTTAAATTATGAACTTGTGAATTTATGATATGATATTTTCAAAAAATTTAAGTATTAGTTATATTTTTTTAGAAACTGAATCATCCAGTTCGACCGGCTTATATCTATATAATGACAGGTCTATTCAACTGGGTTATCCGGTTTAGTCATGCAATTCGATCAGTAATTCAATGGTTCGACCGATAAACCAGTGACCTAATACCCTCACCGGTTCAATGACCGGTTCGATTTTTAAAACACTGCATAAAAATGTTCAAACCAATTTATGAAATTTTGTTATATAAGTTGTATTTTCTAAAAAAAACAGTTTATTATTGTTTAACATTGTGAAGCATTTTAAAATAAACACAGGATTTGAATCCAATTTTATTATAAAAAAACAATAATAATCCATTTTTAGAAAATATAAAAAATTCGTTTTGAAATTCAGTTAAAACAATCCAGTTCTTTAAAAAAAACTAGTTTTAAACTGTTTAAATAAATTAAACTAGTTTAAAATTATGAATTGATTCTGAATTGATTTTAAACTGATTTAATAAATTAACCACTTTTTATTAAAGTGGTTTTTAAAAACTGCGTTGAACTACCAATCACGAACACCTTTAATATTTATATAGTAAAGAGTAAATCTGCTAGATTATTTATGTATTTTTAAGTGTAAAAATAATGTAAAAAGTGTAAAAGTAAATAAATATAAAGATATTTTATTGATAAATTTTATTATAATTAGAATGATGTACACTATTGAATAAACATATATGTTTTAGTTTATGTTTAAAAAAAAAACATAAAAAGGGTATTTTTTTTAAAGAAGCAATGTTGATATATTATTTTGATGACATTCTACCTACAATATGAAGGAAGCAAAGACAATAAAATATATATTTTTAATAGTTGAAACACAATTGATTGTTAATAGACTCATAACACAACCCAGTAATTGTTAAAATAAAAAATGTTATAAATATTTTATAATATCATTTATACTAATTTAGAGTGTTAGAGTATATATAAAGTAATATAAAATATATTTATAATATTCTAGCATTAATAAAACGAATTCAAAAATTGAAAAGACCAAATTTGATACTCTCATCATCAAATTGGCTATGCCACCATACAATCGAACTCCATTTGACAATCGTCTTCGACCACCCTTTATATTTGTTAAGTATTAACAAGTGTGAGTAGGGTGGATAATAGTCCCATATTGGATAGAAATATGGTGACTTGAGCATTTATAAGTGAGAGAACCCATACACCTATCACCTTAAGGTTTTGGGTGAGTATGTGGTGTGTCTCTCACAAAGGTTGCTCTAGAAAAAAGTCCCACTATGTTCAATGCTCCCTAGTTGAAAGTCTAACAGTATCATGAGCCTTTGGTTCGAATAAAGGGAATGACTTACTTGTATCGAAAGTATCTCCATAGGTCGTGGGTTGAGTGTCTCGCCATAGGTCGTGGGTTGAGTGTCTCGTGGTTCGAATAAAGGGAATGACTTACTTGTATCGAAAGTATCTCCATAGGTCGTGGGTTGAGTGTCTCGCCATAGGTCGTGGGTTGAGTGTCTCGTTGAAGAATGTCAACGGCGGTACAAGGGTGCAGTTGCACAGTTAAAAGTTTCTGCTTAAGGGAGAGCATTGGGATAGACTCACACTTGAGGGAGAGTGTTTAAGTATTAACAAGTGTGAATAGGGTGGATAATAGTCCCACATTGGATAGAAATATGGTGACTTGAGCATTTATAAGTGAGAGAACCCATACACCTATCACCTTAAGGTTTTGGGTGAGTATGTGGTGTGTCTCTCACAAAGGTTGCTCTAGAAAAAAGTCCCACTATGTTCAATGCTCCCTAGTTGAAAGTAGTCCCACATTGGATAGAAATATGGTGACTTGAGCATTTATAAGTGAGAGAATCCATACACCTATCACCTTAAGGTTTTGGGTGAGTATGTGGTGTGTCTCTCACAAAGGTTGCTCTAGAAAAAAGTCCCACTATGTTCAATGCTCCCTAGTTGAAAGTCTAACAATATTGCCCTCATAGTCTCAATGTCTTATGTCGAATTTTTGGGTGCTTTTTCTGCTTTTTGATTTCTGCAATCTCGAAATATTTCCTTTCTCTTTATTACTTAAGTTTTAAGGCATATTTCAACACTTGCATAATTAGTTCCACAACTTAGGCAATAAACAATTTGTTGGGTCTCTGAGCACCAAATGTGTGATGAGATACTTCAAAAACTTTGTCGAGAATGAACCTAGTGGTAAAAGCATTTTATAGGCTTACTACCCATAGAGTTTAAGTTGAAAGACATGAAGCGGATTTCGAAGGCCCAAGTCATGTCCATAGAAGCCATGTTGAGAAGTTTTCCAATGTCTCATAGTTCACCAAGCACAGGATGGTCGCAACTATCGTTATTTTGATAAGCGATGAGATTAATATGGGAAACCTCATTTCTAAGATTATATGGAAGATGGTTTAGGAAGAGTGAAACTTCTTCATATTGGACCATTGTTCCATAATGAACACCTATGTGAACAACAAGTACCAAAGCATCAAAGTGAGATGTTGTGGCGCATGAAATCAGGAATCAAGTTTGTTTAGATAAGATAGTGTAAAAAAATAGATAATAGAGGCTTATAAGGAAGATAACACACCACAACCCCCACATGCACAACCAGAGCATCCATATTACACATTTCACTTTCTATGGGGAAGGGGTAATTTCATGTCGTGTGTTATTTGTGCCCTTCACTCACTACTCTCTAGACTACTAAGGAGTATGTAGTGTGGCAAGCAGCTCAACAACGACACCAAATGAAATTGCATCTCAGTCGGTATCATTTTATTTTGATGTTCTAAAATGATTTTGCTATTTTTAAATTAAAAGTTTGAAGAACGAGGTTTGATATTGTTTTTCTCCCTTTTGGTACCTAAATGGTATCTCTGCATTCATACTTTCATTGTGAGTCTTTTCTTCTCAGCATAGAAAATTCAAAACGGAAACTTATGTGTTATCTCGATCAATTATGACTCTGCTTTCGCATGTCGTAAGAACCTATCGTTTGAATTTTTACGTTAGATACCAATTTTGCCCTTTCAGCGTGCAATCGGTATCTCGATGTTTATATTTTTTGTAGTAAACATTTTCTATTAAAAAATAAAAATTATAAAAGAGCATTTTACTCTCGTTACAATTAAAATTTTAACCAACTCTTATAAAATAAACCTATAAAGTGCTCAACATGATGTTTTTAATTATGTTGCTATTGTTCTTTAATTTTTGCACTGTTGTTTCCATTCCATTGTTGTACCAAATCAAAAGTTTCTCTTCAGAGCAACTATTTGATGCAAGAATTCATGTTTCATTCATTTTTCAGGTTCTTTACTTTGCTGAATTTTATTATGTCTTTTTAAAATAC